AATTGGATAGAGGAGACACATCTGCTTTGTAAAGGAGACAAGCTCTTGAGATTCTTTTCTAGAACACGCCCTTAGGGGGCCGAATGCATGACATATCTGGGGAGGGTAATGTAGCTTAGAAAGTTCCATATCATGAAGCTCTTGGTCGTTTTTCTTGTTTCGATATCGATGAAAAATCTCAAAGCTGTACTGATTATCTTGTCGATCGTATTCTTCATAGGAAATTGAACCACAAGTCGAAAGTGGGGTTTGCCGATATGATCTCTTACTGTCATATATTTGATCAGTCCGGTGGTTTATCAGTACATTCTGGGATGTTTCTATAACTCCATAGGAAGAAAAATGATTTGAAAACCTGATGATCGATGACTGACGATCATACAAAATGTTGGACAATGCGGTTCAAACTAATGAGCTCGTGTTCACTATGTTTATAATGAAGGGCAGTGGAAACACTTGAGATTTGTTAGACGCATGAAATCCATCTCCATCAATCTACCGCTCCACATATGACTTTTTTGAGCTACCCTCCCTTTTTCAACGAGAATGCTCATGCGGGGGCCCTTTAATGTGAGCTGAAGCATTCCGTTTATGCGGATGGTCACTACTGTATGGAAGGCTTCCTCATGTTGTCGTTGACGCTTATCATCACAAATGGTATTTCAGCTGCTGCAGAAGACTTCGATCGCGAATTCCAATCGAGAGCAAGGGCAAACATGGGGTACAACCCAAGGTGACTTTTTTCGATGATTTTTGATTTTGATATGTAAACATTCTGCATTTACATAATTCAGCAGTGCCAGACGTGCACTAGATGATGGCGCTTCGTCATCATACCGTCATCGTTCAGCAGATGTTGCTGGACGACCGAGAACAGGGGACAATGCACCAATCATAACATTGCCGGATGATGAAGAAGACGATGACAATAGGTTAGGATTCGTTTCTTTTTCCTCTCCCATGCAGCGATCGGAAAGACACTTGTATAGGGAACGTGGAAGATCGAATGCTGGGACAAGTCGACATAGTAATGGCTATTCTGGTCCGGTAATTCGTGAAATAAGTGAAGAAGAGGCCGAGTCGAGTATTCCAAAGCGTCGCCGAGGTTTCGGAGGCTTTTTTCGAGCGAATAACGAGTAAAGGTATGTGTTTTCGCTGGCGGTGTTGTTTTCAAAAGTTTGAAAATTAGATTTAGATACCTTTTTTATATATGTTAGCAAAGACTTAACCCTTTTTGCGATTCTATGTAATCTTACTTGCAGTGCAAGTGTGTTGCCTTTTTATGGCCGGGTAAATAAATTCCGGATATTGCACGTATTGCCTTCTGACTCATTTTGACCTTAGTGTTTACTTCTTATTGGAACACGTGAAAGTTTACAGGTATTCATGGGGCTTGATTCCCGTTTTCAATGACATTTTTGCATCATTGCTTCTCAAACGGTAACGGTTCACGTCATAAAAAATTACAGCAAATAACTATTAGGTTGAACCGAAAGTTCGTTCGCATCCTTTTTCAAAAAATCGTAACTTCTTACTATAACGATATTCTT